TCAAGGCTCAGCACCTGCTTCAACTGGCCTTGATACTAGATTGCCAAACCCCCAGGCAGAAGGCAGCTTACTTCAGTGAGCAGCATGCATTGAAGCCTGCGCTGTGGTGGCTGGATTGCCCCTAGTCCACACAGACCTGCACTTGTGCAGCAGTTTGCCTCTGAACCCATTGAGGCCAGCATTGCTCAACATGTGGTTTGTGGGCCAGTGCCACTCTGGGAGGCATGAAAAGGTGTCGTGGTTTAAACCCAGTCAGGTAACTTGTTCACTCACTCCCCACCTTCTTTCCCGCCCCCTGCTCCCAGAGGGATGGAGAGGAGAATCAAAAAGAATGCAACTCCCACGGGTTGAGATAAGAACGGTCCAGCAACTAAGGTATAACACAAATCACTGCTGCTACCACCAATAATAACAGTGATAAAGGAAATAACAAGGGAAGAGAATACAACACCTCACCACCAGCCGACTGATAACTCGCCCCCCCCCCCCCCCCCAGCCCGACCAAGCACCGACCCATACCTCCTCCAACCCTGCAGTCTCCCAGCCCTTCCGGCTAACTCCCAGTTACATCCTGGGCATGACGTGCTGTGGTATGGAATACCTCTTTGGTCAGTTTGGGTCAGGTGTCCTGTCTCTGCTTCCTCCTGGCTTCCCCTCCTCCCTGGCAGAGCATGAGGCTCACAAAGTCCTTGGCCAAACCAAAACATCACTGTTATCAGCTCTGTTCCCAAGCTGAAAGTCAAAACACTGCACTGCACCAGCTACCAAGAAGGAGAAAAATGGCTGTTACTGCTGAACCCAGGACAAAAGGTGATCCCAAAAGTGGTTGCTGGATGCTGATTGTTCCTAGTTCATGGGGTAGGGGTCTGTTGTATTTTGTTTGCAGTATTAACTATAGATTGTGTGTTTGCAATTATAGCATAGTACAGATTTAGTAAACAGGAGCATTAGGTGGAATTAATCTGTCCTAATTTAGGGATTCAAAAATTACATGGCTAAAGCAGACATTTCGAAAGGCTGAAGTGTACCTTTTAAGTAAGTCAGAAGGAGAAATTTTGGCATTTTGGTGATATATTTTGTCAGGTAAAGCTTGCAGTGCTCTTGGTTCATCTGAATTCATTCTCGTTAGGACCCATTATCAAAGCTGTCTGAGAGTGCATGGAGCAAAAAAAAAAAAAACACGTTTATTATGTACAAAGAAGTTGGCACTGTTTGTATAAAAGTTCACTCATAGCTCCTGCTAAAAAAAAAAAAAAGCTGGAATTTGATGTTATTTCTCACTAAAACACTTAAATTCACAAAAGAACCTGCTGTTTAAACAGAAAGAAACCGACTTTTAAAAACAATTTCTTCCTGCACTTGTTTCCTTAAATGGGAAAACAGCTTATGACTCTGTACTGTCACATTAGAACTTGAATTTTTATGCTAGATACTAAAAAATGCCATTTCACCTGCATTTTTATGGTTAATGGCTCTGCTTCAGACATCAATTCTTCATATATTTTCTGCATCAATTCTTCATACATTTTATGGTCCTGCACAACCCCTGAAGTAGATTACCACAGATAAAGGCCAAACGAAATAAATGGCATCAGATCTTCTGGAAGCTCTATGTTTATATCTCTCACCAAAACTGGCAAACTTCTGATACATTGTCTTCCCACACCTCTTGTTAATGTAACGTCTTCTGTTATAGTTTTCATGTCTGGCCCTTCATAACATTTTGCGCCTCATTCACACAAAATAAGGTTAATTGAGCAGGATTTGCTTTGTCTGGTAAAAACAGAAGTTTGGGGATCAGAAAGATGGAGATATCTTGCTCAGGTGAGTGATAAAAGCACAACAGATGTCTTATCGATGGTGAATACACAGGCTATTTTAATCCGTTAAAGAAAATGCTTGCTGATCAGTAGTTGTACATAGCCACAGTGTGCAGCACAGAAATACAAGCTGTGGTTTCAAGCTTGTTTTATCTACACCTATCTACAAAGTTAATTTAATTTTTACAAGGGTGCTGTCTATGCTCCAGTCTGGGCCTTCCCCTGTGTCTGCGGTGTCTATGCTAGGCCAGAATGCTCAGAAGGCTTCTAGAGAAACTTGCACACAGTAGAAAGTTGGCAGGGAAAGGTGTTAAAGGATTTCCTTGTTTCCATTAAGTTAAAGGAAAGACTACTCATAAAAGAAAGAGACTTTTGATGTTTTCAGATCTGAAATTCAGTTGCGTGTTAATGAGCAGACTACTTCATAGTGACATGACACAGAGCTAGATCGTGGATAGATATGGGATGGGAGTGTGCAAGAGGGGCTGAGAGAGACACATCTCCTGATAAAGAGAATTTGAAGCCTAATTAAAAAATCTTTCACTGTCCCTTTCAGAGCAAGTTTAAATCAAAAAGCCAGGCTGTGCAAAGGGGAATTCTGGACTGTCTCCAGGATGGACTCAATCTGAAGTAGTAGAGTGAGGAAGAAAATGATGCAGGAAGGCATACACAGAATTTTTGGACTTCCTGTGGGGGAGGAAGGGGGAAGAGGGGAAGCTTATAGATTCCATACCTCTTCTATTCTCTAAAATAGCAAGTCACAATATAAGAAATCATTTGCAGACTTTCTGTCATTTGCTTCAAGTCACGAAGTATCTCCCAGAAATTTATAGCCTAAGAAAAGACAAGATGTAAGAAGGGCTTTGGGGGTTCTTGGATGCTAAAGCTTAAATTTCCTTTAGGAAAAATGGTGCCAACAATCATTTACATAATGAGTAAGATTAGAAAGGAGACAATACATTGAAAGAGACTGTGGGTCCTACCACAACCGGCTGATGAGTGTTTGATAGAAGGGAAGTTGATCAATGTTGTGACAAGAAAAGTCATTTTCTCACTGCCCCTCTCACTAAACCCTGATGTTTAGTAGCTTTGCAGAAATGAATTGCTTAAAGTAGCAATGCAGTCAGCAATTACTACTGTTGCTGGTGAGTCAGTTTTGCTACTTTTATTGTTTCTTATTATTGCTACTACTAACATTGGTTAGGCATCTTAAGAGTACCTGCTTATCATAAGGAAAACAGAGGACGGTGTGTAAAGGGACATGAATGGATGGAAGATGGATGGGCATTTCTGTTCCAGACCTGGTGCATGCAGTATTCCTTCCGTCTGAAGCCTTGCCAGCTTCACCTGCTCTTGCACTGTATTCCTATCTATACATCCTGACATGACTTTTATCACAGACAGCTTTTTAAAGAAAAATTATGTTCAGCCTGTGATAAAGTTGCCTAATGCTTTTCTCCAGAACTACTAAGCCAGTGGGTCCATGTCCTATATTTCTGTAGATAATGATTTCAATTAGGTGTTCTTTAGGAATTTCAGGCTAATTTTTCAGTTTGTGGACATCCAGCATACTTGTATAGCTCTCCTCTTTTGTGTCTTTAGCCAATTAAATAAGCATCCTTTCTGTTTCTTCATAAAAGCTGATAATGAAAATATCAAACAGCATTATATCAGAACAGACTTTCATATATCTCCATTCAATAGAGCCTTCAGGCTGATAGTAAACCATTATTAGCTACTCTGTGCAAACATTTTGGGCCACTTTTTTTGCTTACTCTACAGTAATTGCATCTAGTCTCTGGCTGTGTCTACATTCATGATCTTCTTTGGAGAATCAGTGTATCTTTGGCCTGTTTATATGTGGTTTGGTTTTATGGAGGTTTTGGAGTGTGTGACCTAGACACCTTGGAGATGAAACTCATACTGAATTTTGTCTCCAGGTATATACTGAAAACTGCAATTCCCAGCAAAGACTGGCGGGGCCCAAATTAGCGGTTGGTTTTTTAGGTTTCTTTGAACACAGGGCTCTAGTTGTGCCTGCTGCTGTTGTGCCAAATTACTTGCTCTGTAGACATGTTTTCCAAGCTTGCTTATGAGACTATCACATAAGACAACTTTGAGAAGCCTATTAAAGTAAAACTCACTTTAGCTTGATTCTGATTCCACAATTGTGCTACAGTTACAGAATGCCATTGCTTTAATGTTTTCTCTAATGTATGAAAGCTCTAATGTGATTTGTAACTGACTAAAGGGTTATATATATACAAATGCCTAAGCAGCCTCTTGATATGGCATGGGAATTACAAATTGTCACATCAGTCAGAATTTTGTGAAGCAGCGTTATAGTCTTTCTCTCTGAAAACTGCCAATTTGATCATAGTACTTGTCAAAACTGATGTTTTTTCTCTTGGTTTACTTTTCTTTGTCCATTTTACAATCAGGCAAAGAATATGTCTAGTAGGACAGATCTTTTATCTGTATTGCTCCCTGAGAAAGACTGTTGCTTGTGGGATGTCCATTGCCAGCTTTTTGTAGGAAATTATGTTAGTTGCTCATAGTTGCTGCTAATAAAATGAATTGTGTTACCTTCTAACTAGCAGGAGTCTCTGTAAAATTCTTCATGAAGTTTGTTTTTCCAGGGCAAAGAACCAAAATGTGCAAGTGGGGGAGACGACTGAAGGAAAAGACAAATTTCCTCCCCCTGCCCTCAATGAAAGCTTGATGTTAGGAATTATCAGTTTTTTAAAAGAGGGAGTCTCTTGAAGCAGCAAAACTGGGGTTGTGAAAGTTTGATTAGCTTGAGCTGAACACAGACCCAGATACTGGGTCCAGTTCTCTTCTAGCATAAACAGCTAAAGCCCCCTTCCTAGAGACTGTGCCAATTTACCCTAGTTATGCTTTCTTCATGGCACTTCCAAATGTCTTGCCTGACTGCAAACTTTTGCTTTATTCTCTGACTCTTTGACATTCTAAGGGCTGTATATTTTCTTAGTGGTATTTCCTAAAAGATTAAGTGCCTGAAAATTTTTGATACATTTCTCACACTCTCTGCTTTTGGGTCTAATTCTCCTCCTAAAGCTTTTTGTCAATCTGAAATAATGCATGACGGTAATGGCAGTGCCTTTAGTGAAAGCCAGAGGAGACTCAGGCCCCACATATTTTTGTTATTTATATACCCAGAAGTTCCTGCTCCTGATAGCAATTGCAGGAGTATCAGCACCAGCAGTGGCTAGAGCAACAGACAGAGTTATCATTCCTTGTCATCACTTGGGTAAATCAAGAAGCCCTCCTCAAACATACCAAAGGCTGTTGTTTCTTGTCAGTTGCATGGCATGCAGGTAAGTCCTTTAGCTCAGCCTCACGCTTGATGTGATTGGGTTAAGGCAAAGTGAAGGTCCATCCAGGTGGTTTGTATTCTAAGTGCTGTGACAAGAGGGCTCTGTGCACAGATGAGGCCAGCACTTCAGATGGTAGCTACAATGGTAAAGCACATGATTGATAGAGTTATTTAGTAAGAACTGTAATCATCCTGGGGACCAAAGGAGAGCCTGCAGCTGGAGACTTCCCTGCAGCAACTAATGAGCTGTCTGTGGTGCCTTTCAGAATAACTTTGATATAAGAACAGCTGAGACTATTGAAACTGGTCTTCTTAGGTTTCTTCAAGGGGGTATTACTGATTTAATCACTTGACTGGCCTCTGCATCATATCATTGATTTTTATGATGAAGGCCTTAATTAAGACTAATGCCTGTCAGTGCATGAAGCAGTCACTTTCTCCGTCTCTTTTCTGGGGATCTTTTGGCTTCAGGAAGTGAAGTGACAAGCAACAAAAAGCTCATTTTGTACAGTTTTTGGTGAGTTGTGTGGGACAGTCAAAAGGGAGCAAATACTTTCGAGAAAGCTTTGAATGTGTATAAGTGGATCGCTGGTTATCATCCAGTGGGTAAACAAGTCATCTCCTTTGTAACATTTGAATTTTTTCAATTGCTCATTGTTGCTTGTGGCTATGGTTCCCAGGACTTTGTGACCATAAGTCTTCTCGTGAAAACACTGACTTCTACTTTGATTTATGTAAGATGTGTTAGGATATGTTAAGATATGGCAAACAAATCTCAGACTAGACCAGTTTGCAAAAGACATTTTAATGTAATCAGGAATGAATATCTGCAGGAATAGCCACATCTAAATCCTGCTGACTCAGACTACTTTCCATGTATCAGCCTGCAAGGTTCTTTGCTGGTTTAATCTGTAGACAGCTATAGTCTCTCTGGTCCATAATGTCTTAAAAACAAATCTTTTGATCAGCACTTCAGATATCTCCAGAAATGTCAGTTTTTTACGTAGGAGAATCTTCATGTAAAATATCTTGTATTTCCTAGTTTTGTCTATAATTTCTTATGTTCACAGTGTTGCAGCATGAAGCCATTTGTCCTGATTGCTCAGTTGGTCTCCAAAATGAAATAACAGATTATGAAATGATGCAGAAAACCTGCCTGTAGCTGGTACCTTGCTATTATTTTCACTTCTTCAGCAGTAAGGACTGTGCCACACCTTTAAGTATTTCATTTCATTTATACCATGGTTGACTGGTGATCATTGGGCTCTTGCCATCATTTGAGTGGTTTAACTAAAAAATTTCATCCTAACCAAGAGATTTGTGTCCTTTTGTATGCCGACTAAACGCACACTAAGACACCGTATCAAGTAATCATGAACTATCATATATCTTTATAGTCATAACCATTTAGTGTGTTATGAGAAAGATAAGAGAAGGTGCTTCATCAAAATTACCAAGACTTGTGGTTAACTGAGGAAGCTCTGATTATTATCCTCAAGATACAGGTCACTCCTGAAATACTCAGGTAAAATCTGCTGCTTGAAATCTGATGGGAATCCCAGCCTGCTCCATCTGGAATTCAAAGCATAATACAGTCCCACAATCTTCCTACAGCAGTGGGCAGCAACATGATGATAAGCTCTACATGAAACCATGGGGCCTGATGAAATCCATCCACAGGTACTGAAGGAGCTGGCAAATGAAATTGCTAAGCCACTGGCCAACATATTTGAGAAATCATGGCAGTCAGGTGAAGTTCCTAATGACTGGAAAAAGGGAAATATAACCCCCATTTTCAAGAAGGGGAAAATGGATGACCCGGGGAATTACAGACCAGTCAGTCTCACCTCTGTGCCTGGCAAAATCTTGGAGCAGATTCTCCTGGAAGGCATGCTAAGGCACGTGAAAAACAACAAGGTGCTTGGTGACAGCCAGCATGGCTTCATTAAGGGGAAATCCTGCCTGACCAATTTGGTGGCCTTCTATGATGGGGCAAAGTGTTCGACACTGTCCCACACGACATCCTTGTCTCTAAATTGGAGAGACATCAACTTGATAAGTGGGCCACTGGGTGGATAAAGAACTGGCTGGGTGGCTGCATGCAAAGAGTTGTGGTCAATGGCTCAATGTCTGGCTGGAGACCAGTAACGAGTGGTGTCCCTCAAGAATCGGTGTTGGGACTGGTTTTGTTCAACCTCTTTGTCAGTGACATGGACAGTGGGATTGAGTGCACCCTCAGAGTGACTGTAGTGACAGGACTCTTCATTAGGGACTGTAGTGACAGGACAAGGGGTAACGGGTTAAAACTTAAACAGGGGAAGTTTAGATTGGATATAAGGAAGAAGTTCTTTACTGTGAGGGTGGTGAGGCACTGGAATGGGTTGCCCAGGGAAGTTGTGAATGCTCCATCCCTGTCTGTGTTCAAGGCCAGGTTGGATGAAGCCTTGGGTGACATGGTTTAGTGTGAGGTGTCCCTGCCTATGGCAGGGGGGTTGGAACTAGATGATCTTAAGGTCCTTTCCAACCCTAACCATTCTATGATTCTATGATTCTAAACTGAGTATCATCTTTTGACAGCTGAGTCACCTGTACCCTGATGTTGGTTCAAGGCAACTTGGTGCTCCTGAGCCACGGTGCTTCTGATAGGTATCATAATTAGTTATGTTAAAGTACCAAAAGATAGAAATACATATCTGAAAGGCTTTGCAGTGAGTACTGTATATCCTTTTATCTCTCCTTGGATGTTCAAATATGTTGGAAAATCTGGACTAGCAGGCTGTATTGCTTCCAAACGTTGGTAAAACAAAATGAAACAAACAAACAAAAAGAAATAAACCCTGGCACTGAGCTGAGAATGGTGACACATTAAACATGCTCCATCTCCACCTTCAATTTAAAAATGACCTCACATGGAGCAGCATTTATGCCTTCTTGGCTTTTGTTTCTGGGAGTAGTCATTTGCAATGACTTCCAGGAAAGATAGTGAGAAACATTGCTTTACTACCAATCCTTTCAGCAAACCCTTTTGATCCTTAAATCTCCACAGCCATTCCACAGCACTTGGGTTGCTTCACCATGGACTCATCCCCATTTTGTCCAGGCACTGTAGCAGTTCTAATTTGAGCTGTCATGAGGTATGCATACGCTATGCAATGAAGTGTGCTGGTATCACTACATTGTATGACAACCTTTAAGATACACTAGCTCAGATCTTGTAGCAATGAAACTACGGGAAAGCAGAAGCCTGTTGGAGTCAATAAACTTCTGTAGCATTTGGATCTTTGCATTGTAATCTACTGCTTATTCTACACATAAGCTTTTTGTTTCTTCTCTTTCTTCCTGACTGTCACTGTTTTTCCCAAGGAGTGGTTTGTCTCCTTAAGAGGTCTTGAGTAGCAGAAATTCTTTATAATTGAAGAAAGGATTACTAATCTACTTCTTACAATTTCCCAGGATTTAATTTTCATTCAAAACAATACTCCCCTTCCTCCAAACAGAAAAAAAATACACAAATGTGACTAGTTTCATCTGTGGAATGATTCTTTGGTGCAAGAAATTATGTCCAGTGCAGTAAATTTCTTATCACTAATTCTCTCATCTCCACAACACTCAGAAATTTATCTCAGCTTCAGTATGTAATTCTTGCTGTCCTTGGGAAAGTAACATCACAGGTAATCAGGAATGTCTCTTCCGTTACTAAAATCTGTTCTCACAACAATGACAACAAGAAAAAAGAAAAAGAGAGAGTACAGAGGAGAAGAGTATAACCTAGATACTGTCTGAGACTAAGTACTTTATGTAAAATGAGTAACATGATCTATCTGCAGATGGGTTGGACTACATGCCCTTTAAAGACTCCTTCCAACCCAAGCTATTCAATGATTCTGTGAAAACACTACGCTGTGTCAGGTCTGGAATGGTCACCACAAATCTTGGGCAAGTGAGACAGTGGGTGAAGTCAGCCTGCCCTGCCTTATGTTCATCAAAATCAGATGTTCATGCTTGTGTTGGGTATCTAGTTGCTGTACTGTTGATGAAGAGAAAAAGCACTCCTGGAATGTGAGTCATCTAATCCTAAAATATGTTGTGTATAAGGTAGGTCATGTGAACCATCATTTGCAGAGGTCTGTTTCACTTCAGGGACTGCAAGACAGCTGAAGGTGACTGATGTTACAGACACTACACATAATATTAAATTGTATGAAGTCTGGTAACGTGAAGTTTAATATCCTAAGTTGTAGCTGAAATAATTGGGTTAGTATGTGGAAAGCTACTAGCTCTTTTGAGTCTCATCAGTAACAAAGCAAACAGAAGTGAGTTGGCTTCTTACCTGGTGTAAAGTAGCAAGATCCCATTAGCAAGGTCCCATTAGCAGTGACCCAAGGTTTCACTTCTCAAGGGGAAGTTGAAGATCTGTTACATTTTACATTTCATTATCTGGAATCAGGTTCCTCTCACCTCGCTATAGCTGCCTTTGTCATCCACACTGCCTTCACGGGCAGTGGAAAGCAATGAGAACCGTTAGCATGGAATTCACTTGACCTATCTTAAAAATCTGCTTAAGGCAGAGATAAGTAGCTCCATAGTTTGTGCTAATTAAACTGACTAGATGCCCATTGATTCTAAGAACAATTTATGGTGATTAATTCCTGTCTAAATGTCTGCATTGTACATTTCAACCATCAGGCAAATGGTGTTCCTAGTCCATGGGTAGCTGACTGCACTTAATTTGTCAAGGTCATAGAGAAAATTTATAGATTGCAAAGATGTATGTAAAAGAGCTGTTATTTTCTTTGGCGCTTCTGCTTCTAACCTGTTTTGCTTCTCACACAGCTGCCATTACTATTCTTCATTGGAGTAACATGGGAGATGCATTAAGGCACCTGGGCACACAGAATGGAACAGGCCACATTACTTCTCCCATTAAAATAAACCTCAGTTCTGGTTGCCCAACGCTGTGCTTTCCTTAGGCACCAGTGGTGCACCATCTGCAGAAAGCACTAAGCATGCCTGAAAATCAAACTGTTTCAATTTAGGTGTCTTCCATGCATTTTGAATGCTCTTATCTCAGGCCTTAGCCAGAAGGAAGGGTGCTTGTGATACTGGGCTTTGTGTTGGAATGTAAAGTGAAGAAAACACTCCATTTTTACTAACCCAGTAAAAAAGAAAAAGGATTCTCTCCCTTCTAACTGCTACTCAAATTTTAGAAAAAGAAAAGGCTAGCACATTTTTTGGCACAGAAACACTTCCAGATTGTGTCTTATTTCTTTGAACTATGCAGGCTAAGATAATGATATAAGGATAATTATATTTCATGTTTGAAACTGAAGTTGATAGGAGAGAAATATCCTTCTGTGTGGAGCTTTTACATCATGTTTAATACATCTGTTATTAGCTGAAGCCAGAAAGACCTATGCATGTATTTAAAGAATACATTTAAGGAATGGAGAATGCAACTAGAATGAAAAAAAAAACCCAGCCTTTTTCTCTTTCTATTAGGTAATCTAATATTTCAGTTGCTTGTGGTCAATGGCTCAATGTCCGGCTGGAGACCAGTAACGAGTGGTGTCCCTCAGGGATCGGGGTTGGGACCGGTCTTGTTTAACATCTTCGTCGCTGACATGGACAGTGGGATTGAGTGCGCCCTCAGCAAGTTTGCCGATGACACCAAGCTGTGTGGTTCGGTTGATACGCTGGAGGGAAGGAATGCCATCCAGAGGGACCTTGACACGCTTGTGAGGTGGGCTGATGCCAACCTCATGAAGTTTAACCATGGCAAGTGCAAGGTCCTACACCTGGGTCGGAGCAATCCCAGGCACAGCTACAGGTTGGGCAGAGAAGAGATTCAGAGCAGCCCTGCAGAGAAGGACTTGGGGGTGCTGGTCGATGAGAAAATGAACATGAGCCAGCTGCAGTGTGCGCTCGCAGCCCAGAAAGCCAAACATATCCTGGGGTGCATCAAAAGGAGTATGACCAGAAGGTCAAAGGAAGTGATCCTGCCCCTTTACTCTGCTCTCGTGAGACCTCACTTGGAGTATTGTGTGCAGTTCTGGTGTCCTCAACATAAAAAGGATATGGAACTGTTGGAACAAGTCCAGAGGAGGGCCACGAGGATGATCAGGGGACTGGAGCACCTCCCGTATGAAGACAGGCTGAGAAAGTTGGGGCTGCTCAGCCTGGAGAAGAGAAGGCTGCGTGGAGACCTCCTAGCAGCCTTCCAGTATCTGAAGGGGGCCTACAAGGATGCTGGGGATGGACTGTTCATTAGAGACTGTAGTGAAAGGACAAGGGGTAATGTTTTAAAACTTA